TTGAGTTGACATCCGGATTGGATACCCCCAAAATGTATATTTTAAATTAGTAGACCTAAATCATTAGAAGAGTATAAGTTCATTATTTTTCAACAAAAAAAAAATATATAAGTTCATTATGGTCAATACGAATTTTACGGTTGAGTTTTCGAATAACTAAAAATAAAGGTTTTTAACCATATTAAATCGTCGAAACAAATACCAAAAGTAGAAGAGATAAGCGAGGAGTTTTCATATACAATAATTATTATTTATACGCTTCGTCAACTACAACGCCTTTTCTAAGGTGTTCACAAAAGGAGAAACAATAGCTTGAGAAATACATTAGCAATTTAGCATAGTCATTTGAAGAAAGACATAAAAAAAAACACAGTATTATTATTATAATACGTTAATGTAAACACAAACAAAAATTGGAAGCTTATATATAGTTACTCTCTGATAGATATCGGTTATAGTTAGACAATTTCATACAAATTTACTCCTTACATTGGATCCCATCGTACTTACAAAAGTATTAATGTTGTTTATAGACACATTAGCATGTCCTTCTCACTTCATCAAGCTCCATCAAACTTGCTCTAATCAATTTCTTAGGCCAATACATCTTTGAATACCAATAATACTACCTCTATTCCAAATAACAACATAATAGACAATTCGTGCATGACTTCTTTCTGATGTCTTAATCTCGATGATGGACATAATTTAAGTTGATGGTCTAGTACGGTTTTAGTTCTTCCATGTCATTTCTAGTTCTGGAACCAAATTAATGAAAGTTTAAAAGTGGTCTTGCTATCATTAGACTAGTTGACCAAAAAAAAAATACCATGATGTTTCATGTCTACTATTTTTAACGTTTGATTATTATAATGCATCTCAACTATACGCGGCTTGACCAGACCATCATACAACACAAAGAATTTTGGTTTGGCGAAGAACTTAAACTCCAAAAATCCATTGTAAGAAATCGGATATGTATTTTCCTTTTGTCCCACTAATGTTGGATTGGAACAAGTGCTCGCTAATGGTATTTTCCATTAAGTTCATGATTCCAAGTGTTTCCATTTTCTATATAAAAAGAAAAACCAAGAATTAAAATGCATTTTGCAATTGTTCTTATCTTTTTTATTGGGACCTATTATATGAGTTAAAATGTCTACTTCAAACTTCGTTGTACACTTCCTCATCTGTTCCAATTGTTCTTCTCGCTTTGTTCTTCTCGCTTCGTTGTACACTTCCATGAATATATCTATGGCTATTTAAAATAATTAAAATTACTGGTTTTTAAAAAGACTTTTTTTGTGTGTAGACTACCAAACCCTCTTTTGTCTTTTGAAAATTTAAATATCTCCAAATAAAATAATAATAATTTTGAAACTCTTATCATTTTTACAAGTCACACTTGAGTTTCCTGTCAACGGGACCAAACAACAGCTGATTCGCGGTGAGTGGGGGATTTGGGACCCTCGTGAAGGAAAACACAGAAGATAACTTTTTGATAAAAGYAAAGAAGATCATTTTTATATTTAGGAGAAAGGTAAAATACTTAAATAGTAAAATTTGAGTGTGTCACTTCATTTCAAACATATTTGTCTCCCTCAGTTTTGATGTATGCCCTGATTTGGTACCAATTATATAGGTTAAGCCCCAACCTAATTGATGTTCTTTTCTCTTGCATTATGCACCTCACTTTCTCCCCTCTTTAAAACCCTAAAATTTGTTAACACCGACAACTTTACTTGCCCATATCGCTATCTTTGAGTTTCTTAATTTTTTCTCAAGATAATAAATTGATACGTACATATATAATTAAAATGAATAGAAAATTTCATCAAATACTGTTTCCGAGATAAATTTGTCTCCGCTGGTTAATCGGTATTAGTCAAAGTTATCCGATGGTTTTTTACTGGTTTTAGTAACAGTTTCAAATTTACCTTTTTACCATCCCTCTCCACCAAACTTTCTTTCCCGAAAATAGCTTCCCTGCCCGCAACCGGAGCTCCGGCGACGAGCTTTTAGGCTCTACGAGCCTCCCTTGAGCCTCATGACCTCTGTGAATGGCAACCGGAGGTCCAATTTGATGGCGGTTCTTTCATCTCAACATACCTTCGTTTGGGAAGTAGTGAGAGAAATTTTCCGACTAAATACAATCATTAATTGGAGGAGTTTTTTCCAGCCATATCTTCCTCCTCAACCTTACTACTTTATGCAGCCTACTTCTTGATCAGCTTCACTGGTTTTTTCAGCTTACTATGTATTAGAGATTTCCATGTTTACTCTACTATAGAGATTTCGTATACCCTGGTTTAGAGCTTTTTTGGATTTACTCAGTCAACTGCTCGAAAATTGGTAAACTTCTCCAGATCTACTTTAAGTTTACTCTTGGCCTTCATCAAGACTGTTTCCTTTTCCCAGGCCACTATGACTAATCAGTATTCAAGAGAAGAGAAAGGGAAATGGGTCCCTTCTGGATCGAGACAAAGGAGACGCTCCCCCCTCCGTATTCCCATTGAAGACAAC